CCCCCCCCCTTCAGTGGAGCTGGTGGTGAAATTAGCAGCTGATGACAAATTCGAAGGGTGCTGTCAGTGGGCAGAGACATGCAGCTGTGTGTGCACTGATTTTCCTCTTTTTGGGCCCCTTTTGTGTCGGTCGTAGTTCTTAAGTCTCTCGTTATTATAACTCAAGAATAAAAAACTCAGAAGTCCTCAAGGCAGACACCTTGTCTGAGTTGTGAAGCCATCATCACACAGTGAGCGTGTCGGGTTCTTTGTGCCTCAGCACAGATTGATCGAGCGAAGGTCCAGATTTACTCCTGTGTTTTGTTTTGTCTGAGAGATCAGAGAGGATAAAGTCCGTCTGTGGCTTCACTGGTGCTTTTGATTTGGTCTTCAGTGATTAATTAATGTTTAAATGTTGGATACGAACAATCTTTGCGTCACTGCGATTTGAAGTTAAAAAGAAACTGCAGTGCATGTGATTTATCGAATACTAAACAGGATACTAAGCAGTGTGTTGGTTCCTCAGAGTCTCTGGGCCTCCGCGGTCGTCTCCTGAGGAAAATCGAGGCCCTGAAGGCGGAAGAGAGCGGTTCAGAGGCCCCAGATGAGTTTCTGTGTCCAATCACCAGAGAGCTGATGAAGGATCCAGTCATTGCTGCAGGTTAGACGACAAAAAAAAAAAACACGATTCATTCTGTACAGATCTATTTTTTTACATTATCTCAGTGTAAGGTGTCAAATTGTCTGTTACACAGATGGATATTCTTATGAGCGAGAATCCATCGAGAACTGGATCAGGGGCAAAAGCAAAACCAGTCCCATGACCAACCTGCCCCTGCAGACCACTCTTCTCACCCCCAATAGATCTCTGAAGACGGCAATAACACGGTGGAAGTCAAGCCAGTAGACGGCAGCTCATTTTAGCCTGTCAGAATCCACATTAACAGGTGTTATAAACAGGAACTGCTCATCTGGTAACGACTGCTCTTATTATCACAGGAAGCATTAATTACTATTAATAGAGTTTTCACTCAGAGTCAAATTTGACTAAATAATCTGATCAAGTCAACAGATAATTTGTTCAGTAAATATCAGCACACATCACAATACCTGCGTACAAGCCTGTAAGTTAAGTTATTACACTGTATATTTGAATATATTATCTCTTAAAGCTACTCTACAAAACGACATTTCAGCTTTTCAGTTATTTCAAGGCTTTTATCCCAAATGTAAAAGCGAAGAGTACACACTGTTTACCTCGGCCATTGTTCTGTTATTACCGTTTGTGGCCACAATGATCGCTGTTCGGCTTTAGGTGCATTACTAATCTGTTGCGTTACTTTAGGTTTTTTGGCGGTGACCAACTGACCGTTTACTGATTGCACTCATGGTGATTATTTAATGTCCTCTTAACTTAGGCAGTCTCTGTGTTTAAGAATAAAAGTAAGGAGATCTGTTTGTTTGTTTCCTCAGTGGGTCTTTATTTCTCTCTCCCATGGTGGCTATGGCAGTAATGTTCTATTACAGTATGTGATCACAGCTAATAAAGCTCACAATACTGAAAACATGGCAACAATTGCATTTAACGTACATATTAAAATAGAGCTGATGGCACTGTGCCCCAAAACCATTTGTTTTTATAGATTTTTTTTTTTTTACTCTGTAATATAAACTGCAATTGTAGCATGCATTTAAACTCAACATTATTGAGAATCATAAAATGTCTTAGTAGCTGTGCAAAAATAACTATATAAAATATATTGCTTTTACAATTAACCAAGCCATTGGCGCTGTAAATAAATTAAACTAGACAGCAACAACAAGCAGATACAGAAAGGATTTCAATTCACTGTTAATGGTGATTTATATAATGTACAAACACATTTAACAAATGCTTTTTTTTTTAGAACCTTTAACACCATTTGAACAACATTGTGCATAAAACTCAAAATACACAAGTCTGAACTTGTCAATACATTTAACATAGACCTTCACTGAAAAGAATGAAAAGTACATATTTATATAATATACACAACATAAGGATCTATAACATCCTTTGTAAAACACAGGAATGCCCGCCCTTTAGACTTTCTTACACCTTCACTGAGGACTTCCTTTTCCTTATTTCTCCCCTCGCAGCACCATGGACGTAATGAACACAGTTCAAACCCCATTTTACTCAAAACTGCTCTGTAATAACATTATGCTGTAACTGAATATGTTGTTTAAGCACTTGATCGGCCTAAGTGTGTATAAAGTGCTTACTGTCACCGCTGCGTTGATGAGGACTTACAGTACGTGTCCAAATACTTCCTTCAGTGCAATGTCTCCAGCTTGGCTGAACGACAGCGGACATGTTGTCATGTAACAGAAGCTGACAGCCACAAGCGACAGGTTGGGAGGATAAAAATCTGGAGCATTCGGTACACTGCCTGCAGCCTGTATTCACACGGGAAAACAAACTGCCAGCATACTGTACTTCTTACAAGGCTTAAATGTGAGACTTGTATTCTTTTAGGGGTTGATTTAAAAAAAAAAAAAAGAAAACTCTTTCTCACTTTAGATTTTTGCTAGTGTGCGTTGTGGACTGTATGACAAATAAAACATCTCTACACATTCGACTCTATAAACGATCGCTTTGGTTTCATTGAAGTTACGTGAATGGCAGGATTATCTCGGGCAAGGCCAGGCTGCTTGGGCTTACTGTCCATGAAAGTGTGCGGCATAGCCAGTGCTGGCTTGGACTCTTTGTAACAGTTGGCGGCTTGGCAGAACTTCTCCGTGAATTCCTTGGCGTGCATGCCGTTTTGTAAGCTGCTCATTGCCATAGCACCCTGAGGTGGTGGAGGTTTGTGCTGCTCCTGGTAAGTGCTCACTGTTTTAGGGAAAGGCAGCTCACAGTCGACAGGTAGCAGGCCCATCGCTGACATGTTGTGACACACCAGACCGTCGGACGAGTGGTTCAGCCAGCTGCGGCCGCTCTGGTGGCTTTGCAGGCCGTGCTGCTGCTGCTGAAGTTGCTGTTGCTGTTGGAGCTGTTGCTGAAAGCGTGCCTTCTTGTCAGTTATGCCCATGAAGGGTCTGGGTTTGTACTCCGTTGCAGAGCTGGCCTGTTGGCTGTGCTTTGTTTTGTCAGAGATCTTGGTGCGGACATCAGGTCCCAGTTTGCCGCTGTCTGATAGGCTGCTGCTGGACGCCAGGCTGCTGGTGGAACTGGACACACGCATGCTGCTGCTGCTGCCTCCTCCCTGCGATCCCACTGCGCCACACAACCCGTCCTTTCCGGGGTCAGTGTGGTTCCCCTGGGGTCCAGGACCGGAGCAGGCTAACCCATCCAGGGACGACGCAGAGTGGGCAGACAACCTGTCTTGCCCCAGACACTTGGAGCTGCTGCAGGATGAGTAGGAAGCTTGGGAGGAATGGAGGTTCTCGTTTTCACAACTGTGACCCATGGAGACGGAGGAAGCCGCCAGCGACATGCGGTTCCCGTATACGGGCTCGTCGGCTGGGGGCGGTAGAGGGCTGATGTCGATTCCCGGGCCTGGCTTCAGCATGCCGGACATGTGTCGGCTGGGTAAGGGACTCGAGGGTGCATACTGAGATTTGGAGCCTGCTGCGCGGCCCCCCACGGGCCCTCCCCCAGCCTGCATGGAGCTCATATGCTGGTTGGTCTTGACTATCTGGGCCTGCTTGGTGGGCTGCAGGACCAGACCCTGTTGGGCCAGCGCCTCCCGGTGCTCTCGAGGGTACCGGTGGGGGGGAAGCCTGCTGGGGCCTGGCGGTGAACTGGGGGTGTGACTCTGATGTCCCAAACTGTTGCTGACAGGCTCCGAGGGTAAGACTCTGTTACAGGAATAACTGTTCTGTGACCAGCAGGCTTCAGTTGTCCTGTCACGCAGCGAGGCCTCCTCCTCCTCCTCTTCCTCCTCTTCCAGGATGTCTCTTTGTCCTTCCGCGCTCCTGGAGAGACTGTGTTCCGACGGGTCGACCTGCCCTTCGTCTTGCTCCTGGTCAGACTCGTGGCCTCCCGACGCCTGGCTGGAAGCAGCTGCGGCACCGGCGAGGGCTCCTTTCGTCTGGGTACGCTGCATCTGTTTACACTCGTCCTCCACTCTGGCCAGCAAACGGCGTATTTCCCGGTTATTGGGGCACAGCTTGGCCGCTTCGTGCAGGTCAGCCAGGGCTGCCGTAAACTGCCTGTGGATGGGAGACAATTGTGTTACCAGATCCAGACCACATAATTCCCCAACAATAACAAGCACAGAGGCTGGTCTGGAGCTGCGCTGAATAGTTTACCTGCTGCTTCTTTTAGCTCTTGCGCGGGCATAGTAGGCCTCATAGGATTTGGGTTTCAACTCCAGTGCTTTTGTTGCAAACTCCTCAGCCATCCCGAAATCCTACAAAGAATCAAAAATTACAGTTAACCACATGTGCTTGAATATCAACTGGTTAAGCTCAGTCACAGAAATTAACATTTTGAAGTATACATGTTTTATCCTTGTTGGTGTCTTTGATGATATAACAGTATTTCCAAACTAAATAGTGGCTGAATTTGACCCAGGCTACATCTTTCAAACACTGAAATGATAAAACACCTGGCAGGCACCCAATGTGCTGTTACTGTAGAAACACACAACAGAAAAACCTTGTGGTTCCCGTTTCTCTCCTATCTCCTGCTCTGCTGTGTAATCACATCAACAGCTGGCTCGCTACAAAAGTCCAAGAGTTCTTGATGTATGACTTATGTAAACAAACTTTAATGAAGAGCTTCTCTGCAGAAACAATTATCAAGAAATCCAAAGATAGAACAGCTTAAAAACCCTCTCTCTCCTCGTGGTTGCTTCATTGTCACTTTTAAACTTTATAGTCTTAATATCTCATTAAATCCATCATTCTGTTATAACATTGGGTGAAAACTCGAACAGGAAGAGGAACAACTGCTCGGCACAGTTAAACTGAGCAGACAGGCTGGCACATGCAGGAACTGAGATTGTTTCACAGGAAGATTTGAGGAGATTGAGTCCACTGCCCAGTACTCTTGTAGTTTTCTCCCCACCTCCTCCCCGTTACCATCTGAACACTAACAAGCTTCTCCTGCCCACACATGCTCAAATTATTTCACATGCTAGAGTCCTAGTCACAGATTATCTTTTTGTCGATTTCAAAACAATTGGGGATACTTCCCAAGAAAAAAAAATAATTCTATTCTTCACCAAACCATTTAATTATGCCCCATGATATTCATTACACTGACAAATAAGAATCTGGTGAGTGAAACGCCTTATTTAAAGTCATTAAAGGAACGTGCTAAAAATACTACACTAGCTGAAGAACAAAGGAGAAAAAAAAAGAGTCTCTTGAGGCTTACGTTGGTTTTTCTGCGACAGCGGGAGAGATTGAGATACAGAGAGACCCGCAGGTCTTTAAATGCCTTCAGGTCATCGCCAAAGCCTTCTCTAGGAAACTTCCTCAGGGCGTACTGGTACCTCTGGGCTGCCTCTTTCATCTTCCCTTTCTGGAGGACACATGGAGGGCAAACATGCAGTGAGGAAGAGGACAGAACCAGAAGGAAAACAATCGGAGAGAGAAGGAGGGCAGAGTATCCACCAGATACTCCCACAATAGCTGTTCTCTGGCTTGAGCCCTCCCTCCTCATCAATCACATACAAGACACAGGCAAGCTCAAATCACACACACACCTTGTCCTTTCTGCCACAAAACTCTGTTAAATGTCAGGCATCAATCATGGCTCCTGTGGTAAGCGGTGCAGAACATACACATCTATTCATTTTCCCCATTTAACTCAGCTAGAAAAAGACGGTAAGGACGTCATTGTTATGCTGAACTAAATCTTATTGTTCAGAGCTTTTTTTTTTACAATTGATGGTGAGGGATTTCTTTACAAGTTTCACATTACCTTGTAAAGTAGGTTTCCCTCCTCCATCAGCTTCTGAAGAAGAATGATCAGGATATCAGGCTTGGAAGTAGCCATGGCCCAAGCAGCATTCCCTGTTGGTGTAGAGGGGAAAGAGAGGAGTCGAGAGAGAGGTGTGTTAACGTGGTTGTTTCTGGCGCCAACAGGTGGTCACTGTATTCTCTGGAAATTGGGACAAGGTAAAGTTACCTAAAGATTGTACCTGATCGATCGTAAGGAGACGTTCTGTAGCCTTAGTTTATTGAAGGCAGTTAAGAAAGAGTTAGGAAGGAGAGAGTGAAGAGAAAAGAGGTCATGCAACAGCAAGAGTCATTTGTAGTGAAAGGAAAATGTGCTACAAAGTGTAATGTGACAATATACAATTATGTGTCACTAAACTTGTGGCCTTGTATTTTCAGTGGTAAAAGCATGACTTAACTGTGCTGAAAGGAATTTTTTTCCCCCCCTGATACAGCAGAGTGCACTG